CCCTTTTGCTACTCTCTGCCTATAATTGTTCACGTTTTTTTTTTTCAGACAAAAAAGCAGAAAAAGACATTGTCTCCCGCAATAGTAAATTAGTTGGTTGCCTTCCAACAAAGCTAAGTCCTTTGACACCTTTAGCTGAATGCAAGATTGCAAATGATTCTCAACATAAACATAGTGAAACACAAACAAAGCAAAACCAAATGATTCCAGATAGGAAGCCATTCACCCTCAATACCTGGACAGATATTTCAAAATCACATACTCCACCACTACAAGAGAGGGGATATAACACATTCTCCATAGCAACAGAAAACAGAGGTTTCAATATCATCCAGAGAACATCSTCACCAAAGAAGACAGTTGCATTTGAACAAAGTATACTTTTAGGAAAAGAATCRCCTTTCAACAGAGTTTCATATAATGTGTCTGATAAGATGTGTTCAGAAATGCCAAGAATATATGGTCTCACACAGGCCATTGGTACTCGAGATGTAGCCAGAAATTCTGACATGCGAAAAACAATTGAAGGGGATCCTAACATTGAGATGGTAAGGCTTAACATKTAAAACCATCAAGTTTCTCTCTTGCTTCTTTTGGCTGAGGTATCGCACTAGTTTTGCTTTCTTTTGTGGGACCCAGCTACTGCCCCCCCCCCCTGGAAATACTGGAAATACACCAGGGGGTACTCTGGGGCAAAAGTAATGGGGATGCTCGTCGGATCTCTTAGGGGTTAAAATTAGTGATTGGGAATCTTTTGGGGTGCCAATTTGGAGTTTTTGGAAATTTGCTTTTTACGCATATCTTAGGACCATGTTGGAAAAGAAGAGAAAGAGCACATCAATATTGATTTTCCTTTGTGTTTTTATCATTGCAAATTATTTAATTTAACAAATATTTGTTATGCAATCTCTTAGGTTAAAAATCAGTCAGCCACGCCCTTTTAAAGACTTTTAGGGTTTTTACATGAAAAATACCAACGAGCATCCCTGGTACTTTTACCCCAGAGTCCCCCTGGCGTATTTCCAGTCCAGTGAAGACCTCCTTAAATACTTCCCCACACAATTTTTACATATACTTTACATGATTAAGTGTATAGAAGTGTTATGCAATTTCAGTGTTTCTGTCCCTGCTCATYTCAGTCAGCATTCAAACCCTTCAGTAAACTGGGCACACCCTGTGAGCCAAACAAAGCCAGAGATTCTGATAAGTTCAAGACTCCCAAAACTATACATAAAAGCTTTGCATCAAGTGCATCTACAAAATCATTCAGGTATGCTTATATTTAAAAAAATTACCCCATTCCCATTGATTCTCATCATTTGCTGTATCTCAAATGCAAAATTATTGTATTTTTTTAGTCAATGTACGTTTTTAATAACAACCATATTATTCCTTTTCAATGACAGTCCTGTGCTGCGATTATGTAATAAGCCACTGCCTTTGGACATACCAATGCAAACGTGGACTTCACGTAAKATAAATGACAAGCATTGGAGTCATTTTAATGTCTACCCTGGTCATCAAAAAAAGAACCCATTTTTGGACAAAGAGTCTTACGAACTTAATGACAATGCTAAAAAGCTTAAAGACAACATAGCAATCTCTCCAAAGATARMTCTCTTGAAAAGYGAAGAAAGTTTGTTACASGGTAARGTAACGCCCAAAAGGAAAGGAAAGCCTGCCCAAGAACAGTGGAATCCTTTTAATGTTAGCTATCCAGTTAAAGTAGAAAATAAGGGTGTGTCTATCATGGGAAGCCAGGAGACGGCATGGAGGACRTTCCTTAGAGGGTCAGGAGGATTTCAAACGGCAGACGTACAAGTAAGCTAAACAGCTGATTTATACATTCATTAAATCAATGATTGATGATCGCCGTATTTGCGTTGTAATCTGCATCGA